TTCTCAGGTGGTGTTTTTCCACCTAAGTATAGAAAATGTGTCCCCAAACTCTCACATCTTCAAGGTATTTTTACACCTTTATACAATGAACAGCATGAAAGAAGTCATTCTACAGGTTGGCTTGAAGTGTGTCATTGCTGAGATTCTGAGAAATGTTCCCAACATAACTAACCTCATAGACAACCAACATGGTAGCACCAAAACTCCTATGAAACAAGTTGTTCCTTGGGCACAGGTATAATGGATATGACTGCTGCACTTGCTGGCATCTGTTGTAAAGTTAAATTCTTAAAGCTGTTTTTAAACCTGGGATGGACTTTACCGATGGAGAAAGAATATTACATCATACAAAATTCTAGCTGCTTTTCCTACCCAGGTTACACTATTCTCTGGAATGACAAGTCCTTTTGCCGTTTGACTAGTGGTGCACGTTTACCCCATATCCTATTTCCAAGTGTCAACAACAGACTCACCAAAAAACAAACAAAGCATGCTTAATGGCAACCCTGAAATCAAATTTATGAAATCACAAGCACAAATATTCTACCAGATGATTCTACATACATTCTGTAGTCTATATAAAGCCTCAACCCTGAAAGGAGCACCCAAAGAGGTTGGGTGTCCCTAGATTGTTTCTCAAGCAGCCTCACAGAGACATTACCTCGATGAATTTTCCACCCTCTAACATTTGGCCCATGGCCTTGCAGTCTTGGAAACCTGATCTGTCAGCAAGGCTGGAGCAAAATCACATCTCAGAGGTGGACTTACAACTCAAAGAGCACAGAGCACTAAAGAGTGATGTCAAGATGCAAACATGGTAATTTACAGCGAGAACCATAAATGTCAGACGGACTGAAACACTCCAGGGGCAAAAGCCAGCACATTCTCTCTCTGTGGACAGACGCGGATGGAGAGCCAAGTCATAACCAGAATGTCGCTTGGTGATAAAAAGGTGGAACAAAGGGAATAAACAGTAAATAAATCAAGGGCAAGGCTGGAATTCAGATTCTAGTTCTATGACTTCCTGATTCACACTGACATTTCACACTAGAGACAGGTGACCCACCAGACTCACCAAGCCGCTGAAGACCCAGCTCTCTGGGGTGGCAGAGGCTGGGAACTGCAGGCTCGCCTGGGTGGGTAATTCATCTTTCTGAATGACAGGCTTTTCCTTTGTTATAACTAATTCTGGGAGACCCTAAGGTAACATTTACTCTCTCTGCCAATGCTATTTAAGGTATCATCAGATTCATTCTTTTTCCTTTTCTCCTTTTTATTTATTTTTTGTTGTCATCCTTTCTTTTCTATCCACACCACCACTACCACCAAACAAGTCTAGGTCCTCATCTCTTTATGAGGGGCACGGGCCTAACTGGTCTACCTACTTCAAACCTGTCCCACTGCCCAACTCCAAAGATCACTACTGTATAAATCAACCTTAAATTAGAGTTTTGTACGTGTCTCTTCCCATTTTCCTACCTTCACTCATACCAAGCACTCTCAGTGACTCCTACTGCCTTCAAAGTTGAGTTTGAATTGCTTGGCCTGATGTTCAAATTCTTTCATATCTGTGCCCAATTTATTACCATTTTTCTACTGCATGAAACTTCGACTCCAGTCAAATCTACTGTCTCTTAATATCCTAGGTGCACTCCAACTCCTGCCTCTGCTCGTTCCTGGGTTCCTGGGGTCAACTCAAGATCTTTCTCCTCCATAAAAATGTCTCTGAAGGTCCAAATCTGAAACTGACCTTTCCGGTCTTTAGGCTCATTTGGTATTTAGTGTATCTGGAAAGTAAGTATTATGTGTAGATATACCATCTCCTCAACTAGATTAACCTACTTACAGTGGGGAACAATACATTTTGCCTTTTTTATATCCTGTTTCCTCAATGCCTCCATACCAGGGGTGCTCAGTAAACAGGTGCTTAGAACTGACCTTGTCCACATGTAGGTAAAACTACTGAACTCTCCTCAGAGCCTAAGATAGACCTTGAAAGGTATGACCCTTAGCAGAGGAGGGGAGCTCTCTCTCCAAGTGTCCGTGGGTTATTAGTGGCACATGGCTTCTTCCAAGCCCTTGGAGTGATATCAGAAGATCAGTGCTCTCCCCTGCATCTTCCCCTGCTCTCCGTACTGTCTGATGTTACAGCTGGAGACACCGTTCCACTCGTTAGTCTCACTCAGTCTCAAAGTAAAGTATTAGCTTCAAACACAGACTAGACCTCTGATATGTGGACACTATCACCAGGACACTTAACAGCAAGAACCATACAGGGAGACAGAGACACAGAAAATCCTATCGAGTCCCTTCAATACGATGGCAGAGTTAATAAAGGGATGAAAAGGCAGATTTCTAAGGTTTATAGGCATCAAGAAGGGAACAACCTTAAGCGATTTTAGTTACCACGTTGCTTTTCAGTATTCTTGTTGTGTAATCATACCTTGGTCTCAAGCCTGATTGGAAAGTGCATTAAGAAAGCTCATCCCATATTTGTCTAATACAATGAGCTGATTTGCAACAGTATCTGGGAAGACAGAGTTCCTTTTATTTCATACCAAAGCACTACAGCTCATGGGGAGGACATCCAGAAAGTTGTCAACAGGGTCTTCCATGATTATGAAAGACGTGAAAATACACACATCATCTCATATTTCATGGATTTTGGCAGCTCCACATCAGAAATGTTGGGGAATGATCTGGCTAAGTCTTGAAAGTAGGAATGAGAAACCTAATTCAGAATGGAATGAAGGTGATAATTCTTGAAAGCAGGAATGAGAAACCTAATTCAGAATGGAATGAAGGTGATAATCTCTGCTAGGAAGGAGGAAATTGCTAGATTAAACAAAGATAATTAAGCCTGATAAATCATAAAAACATAAACAAAATAAAAATAAGTTTAGTAGTAGTAAATAAAAGAAAAAGCTATGTTAAAATAGAGAAAGTAATAATTTCCTAGGCAAGGAAGAATTAATTCTTAGAGGTAGACCAAGAAAGAGCTTGTAAGGTTCCTGACTGTCCTCCTAATATTAAAATAAAATTGGAGACTAACTATGCTTACACTGAATAAAAATTATAATAATATATTGCATTGTTTAGTATATAGACTAATGCAAGCTATAGGAAGGGAGAATTTTGTTAAACAGATACAAAATTAAAAATAACAGAAAACAAACATTTGAAAACTCTATGTTCCCCATTTTTATTCCCAGGAAAAGTATTTTCTATTAGTGAGTGTGGATTTCTTTCTCTCCTTTTTGGGATATAATCCTAGAGCTCTAATATATCTTAACACAGACTCATAAAAGCAGGCGGGAACATGGAAGCCATTTCACATATTCCCATGACCTTCCAGCATGAGCACACTGAGATCAGGCTAAAGAGGGGACAAGTATTTCTTTATATTTGTAAATAAGTACAAAAGGAGATTCCAAAGCTTCCTCTAAAACCCTTGTCAATCCACCAAAAATGGTGGATTTTTAGCCAATACTTCAGTTTTTATGCACGGCAATTCTCACAATACATAGACGAGATTTGAGTATAAGGTAATGAGCTATGGGCTGCCCGTGACAGTAAACTTTCTCACCTTATGATCGCATAGCCTATTCAGTCTTATGTCTAAAAATACGGGTTTAAAAAAATAAAATTAAAATACGGATTTTGTTTTAAAATCTAGTCTCCTATGTTTGCTGGTTTTTAAACAACAAAATATTCCATTTACCAACATGGTGTATGCCACATTTAAATACTTATACCTGGTCTGAAGCAGAGCTCGTGGGTGACGGATTAAATATGGTCTATTTCTCTAGATCCCATCTTCCTTGTGAGAGTTTCATCCTGGCATTTAAATTAAGTTCCTCACTTTGCATAAGAACAAAATCTTCCTCAGGAAAAATGTACTCTCCTTATCTATCTCATACACCAAAAAAGATTTTCTACCTTTATTCAACTTTCCATGTATCTACAGAGTCGCCTAGATTTTAAAATAAGTTATTCCAGACACTGAAAAATGTAGAAAAACAGATTTTAAGAAGGCAAGCTTTCTACTCTAAGCATTCTTTCTTTTTTAAAAAAATAAATTACACTCTCTAATTATGTGATAGTGTATTTTGATTCTGAAAATTAAAGTTACTTTAGAGGTAGGTAGGGCTGTAAAATGTGCATGCTTGCCTGATGATTTTCAAACCAGAAATTAATCAAAAGGCTCTAAGAAATTAAAATGTCACCTTGAAGCCCAACCTAAGAATTGCTTTTATTATACAGAATATCAGTGCAATAGAATGGAAATGGTTTTACAGCCTTTCAGGTTGAGGGTCAAAGTGATCATTTCTCATTTAGTCTCACACTTTAATTTCTTGTACGAAGCATGATGGATGTACTTGGTTGCATACATGTTAACATTTGTTAATTCATGTTCCTATCCTCATATAATCAATTTTTTACAAATTGAGCAAAGGCAACAACAATTCCATCAGGAAAACATATGGCATAAATCTTAATATTCACCACATTGTGCTTTACTTTATAATGAAGCGGTTAACCTTGGTCAAATAAAAATTGTGAGAAACCAATAAAACCTTCACATCTTCTCTTATAACAATTATTTTCCCATATAATTAAAGACTTGATTTAAAAAATCATAAAATCTCAGGTATATTAAAGGACAGTTGAAGTGCAATCAGTAAATGAAGCCTGTGAACGCATGGCTTGGCACATGAAATGTTAAAAGTTAGAAAATATTTATGAATAGGAAAATATTGATATATATGTAAAACTATGCTTCCGTGAGGCTATTCTGCAATGATGCCTTGATTTCATTAACCCAGAAAAAGTCATTTTCTTTTTTATGAGGCCATGAAGGGAGTTAAATATTTCCCGCAATGAGAAGTTGGCAGAATATTCGCTCTGAAGCAGTCCCTAAGGGAAACGTGGGATGTTTTCTTGGACTGTGCACGCAAGATAAAGTCAACGCGAAACGCGAGCGCAGGCCGTGAACATACCTTGTCCTTGGGTTACTCCGTAAAATTCAGCCGCTATCCGGGCCGCCTCCTTGCGGTTGCCTTTCACTATGTAGAAGTGACTGAGGACGGCGAGGCTGATTTTCACAAAGAGCTTGAAACAGAACAGTGAGAGGATGGTGAAGTAGACGTTAGAGAGCTGCTGAGCGAAGGGCCGGCTTTCTTCGACCACCGACATCGCTGCACCAGCCCGGCTGCTGCCGCCCTTGGTCAGATCCAAGTCCCGAATGTGCCTGGCTCCGGTCCGGGATGCTCCTGGACAGCTGGTCCTGAGGAAGGAAAATAGCAGCTGGTAACGATGCCTCCAGCTCAAAATATTTATACCGTCCATAAAAGTGCTTCGCACACGCCTATTGGTCTGACACTGTTCCGCGGGGGCAATGGCAACACGTGCCGCTTCCCGACACTCCTGACTTTCCGTGCTGGCTACAAAATGACATCCCGCCCCCCTGCCCTGAAATTCAAAATCAGGTACTGAAATTTATATACAGATTGTTGTTTCCCTTTGGGGGGGGGGTCAGTGTCAGCGGCACTCTGAAGACTTTGCGTAAAAGGGGTTACTGGTGTTAATGTAAGTGCTATTCATAATATCAAGGAAAAATTAAGCCCATCAATTCAAACCTTGAAAATGGTCGTATTTGTAAGCCATGAGCTAAATTATCAAATTGTCCAAGACTTGATGATTTAATGATCACTCATCAAATTCGCCAAATTGTGGCTTCCACCGTTGTCAGGAAAAATAAAATGTGTAAGTGGATAGACTGGAAAGTCACAGGCTCATAACCTTAGAGTGTTTATTCATCCACTGAACACTTTTTTAAGCACCTACTATATGTCAGGTATTTTGCTGGATGCTGGCAGACCAATCCCTGCCACAAGGATCTCAGAGTCTAGAGGAGGAAACAACCATAAAATAAATACAAGTGAGGACAGGGTAGCACAAAGAGGAAGGGCCTAATCCTGGTAGCGAAGAGTCCAGAAAGGCTTCCTGGAGGACATGTAATATCCAGAGAATTTCAAGTAAATGTAAGTATTTCATCTTGACTCTCCCAAACCGAGCAAAACAATATATTTTTTAGCCCCATAATCTTTGTTAAACCCGATCTGATGTAGTTTAGAAATGAGGTGCAACTGTTTATAAGGGCATCCTTAGGCAAGCTATCTGTTTAGAAGAGAAATCAAGTAAGTTATTTAAGAACAATAATGTAGAGTGACAGTATTTTGGCATTTAAGCCAACAAGAATACGCCAAGATACAAAATGACATATTATACAGGGGGCTTGTTTATACATTTATATGACCAGGCTTGGGGCCTGTTAATTGTCGTACTGCTTCCCGATTCTTCCGAGAAGTTCCGGAATCACAAATAATAACAAAAACATAAGAAAACAGAAGTGGCTTTTCTGGGAATAAAGGAGCATATCAGTGATTGGTCATAGTGGTCAGTGCTGCATGCTTTTCATGCCGTGTTTCTTGCACTGATTTATATGAAACGTCCCTAAGACAAAGGAGGTATTGCTGTAAAGTAAACGTGTCAGATAAAGCAGGCTTCTTCTTTCCCCAGTGACTGCGTGGTTCCCAGAAAAATAAATCAGATAAAATAAAATATTAGAAAGCAGTCACTGCCCTCTTTATGGAAATGCCCCTTGGTCTTGTTCTCACAGGCAGAGAGCTATAGACTAAGCAGCTATCCACTGGCTCCAGTGGGACGCGGGTTCGTGCCCCGGTCCGGGAGGATCCCGCATGCCGCGGAGCGGCTGGGCCCGTGAGCCATGGCCGCTGAGCCTGCGCGTCCGGAGCCTGTGCTCCGCGGCCAGAGGGGCCCCAACAGTGGGAGGCCCGCGTACCGCACACACACACACACACACACACACAAAATGCACTGCAGAGTATAGAAGACGAAGTAACTAAACGTGAGATTGTGTTAGTTAAGTGACTGGAGGAGATGACCCTCCAGTTAGTCTTTCCCCAGGCGTGGCGATGCATGAGTACGCACCAGAGAGGCATGCCCCGTGGACAGCTGGACCATCACAATACTCTGAGTCACTGCACCCACAGCCAGTTCAGTGCTTTAGAATCAGAAATAAAACCCACCTAAGTCATGCCTCAGTGTCTTCTAAGGTTTCACTGTTTCCTCTCTACCAGTAAGAGCTATTATAATTATCTCCACATCAGCTCATCAGGGGACTGGATTCTTTTGGGTTGAGGAACACTTTTATTTCAATAAGGCTGCTATCATTGGAGCAGTAAGTTTAACTCCTTATACTTTTACTAGTAGAAAAATACTGCTCTCCAATATTTAGGATTTTATGTCAAGATGTCACGCTTTATTTTAATGAGTTCCTTGATTTCCCACCTCTATTTCTTTCGTTAGCACAAACTCTCCCTTGGCAACTTTTACCATCTCTAGTTCTAGTATCACTAAATAAAAATTAAGGCTAAATAAAATAACTCATAGTAAGTGAACTCATCAAATATAAACTAGATGCTGTATTTTTCACATTATAGACCCTTCCACGCAACATCATAAGTTATTTTATTAATATTTAAAAGACACATGAAAAATATTGTGCACCTATTTTCCTGGCATTTGTGTTTTCTTAAAAAATAAAATATTGATTAGTAATTTAAGGGATTTATTGAGATAAATCCTTTTATCATTTACCATGTTGAGAGGATGTGGTAGAGTGATTTGGGGATTAGCCAGTATATCCCAACTGATCTTGTTAGTCTTGATCAATCAATCAAACCAAAGTTGAGCTCAACAGTTTTGTTACTAGAATGGGCGATGTGAGAGGAGATAAAAACACAGGAAGAAATCATTTTTTTATATAAATTTATTTATTTATTTTTGGCTGCATTGGGTCTTTGTTGCTGCACGCAGCCTTTCTCTAGTTGCAGGGAGCGGGGGCTGCTCTTCGTTGCAGTGCGCAGGCTTCTCGTTGCGGTGGCTTCTCTTGTTGCAGAGCACGGGCTCTAGGCGCGCCGGCTTCAGTAGTTGCAGTGTGTGGGCTCAGCAGTTGTGGCTCGCGGGCTCTAGAGCTCAGGCCCAGTAGTTGCGGTGCACGGGCTTTGTTGCTCCGTGGCATGTGGGATCTTCCAGGACCAGGGCTTAACCAGTGTCCCCTACATTGGCAGGCGGATTCTCAACCACTGCGCCACCAGGGAAACTCAGAAATCATTTATTGAGAGTTCACTATAAGCCACATGTTTTACATAAATCTTCTCATTTACTATCTTATTCTATCCTGGAGGGGTATTATTGTCATTTACATTTTAAAGATGAAGAAAGTGTAATTCAGGGAGTTAGTGACCTATAAGAGTATTTGAACACAGTTATGACTCTAAAATACGTGCTCAAGTTACTGCCCATATTTTCTATTTTTAAGCACTTACTGTCTGAACGAGCAAGTACGATTTGTACATACAGAGTGAGACAGAGTCACAGAGACTTACACACACAGTGGAGAGGTCGGTCTAAGACTGCATTTAATCAGGTACCTAAATTAGCACCTAAGTGAGTGGGGCAGCTCTTCATGCTCTGATGATAACATGAGATGGAATCTTGTGTGTGCTTGACACCTGGGAACCAAGGAAAAGGGGAATGTTTGGTGACTGGGCTAATACTTCTCGATTATTCAAGGTTAAGAGTCGGTAAGCAGCTCCCATTAAAACAGCAGAGAGGAAGCCGATAGAAGGGCCAAAGAATAGGGCAGTCGAGAGTTAGTTCATTGAAAACAACGCTGAATGTTCAAAAGAGGGTCAAATAACTGAGTAAAAACAAAAAGAATGAGGATCATGGAAAGGACAGGAGGCATTCGCTGGTGACCTTCAACTCAGTATCTCAACAGGATAATGGAGTGGGAATTAGGACTCCGGTGATCAGGGGTGATCCTCAGAGCAACGTCCAGAGAAAAAGGGGCCCTGGGGTTCCTCCTTTTGTCACCTTTCTGGGTATTGTCTCTGCTCCTCCCCACAGTACAGCTGTCAGAAGACAGTTCCTCTGTAAGGCGCCCCCTGCGTCCCCTAATCTTTCCCCTTTCTAGGTTCTTGATCAGCTTCCTTTAGCATCCCAGGTACTATGTGAATTGGCATTGTGTCTGTGTGTGTGTGGGCGCGCGCGCACGTGCTTCAGAGACTTAATTTCATGTCATTCAGATGCTGAATATCATAATGACTTTCAAATGTGGCCAGATTAGTCTTCAAATTCTCATAGAAGAGAGAATTTCATTTCCAGAGATTATGGCGCTAAATTGTTTTGACCTAACTGCAGTTTTGATCCAAGCTGTTATACTAAAAATGTCAAGGCGATATCATAAAAATTGCCTGTTTCTAGTGCTTTCCAGTTGATAGATCTTAGCATAAAGATTTTTTTTTAAGATGTTTATGTAGAGGAAATAGAGTGACCCCATTGAAATAACGATTTCCTTTAAAAAAAAAATGTGATCCCATATTCTCTGGTAGAAATCTAAAGGCTCTAAGTGACTTTTTATTGCTAATTTCCAAAAAATAAAATTACAGGGATACATTTCAAATAGCAAAGTTACTAATGTTCAGTACAATGGCAGTCATCTTCCCTGCTCCGGAACAGGGATTTTGAGGAGGGTTTGTGCACAGTGAATACAAACTGAGAAAAGTCATTTGCTCATAAATCTGAAATTCAATGGTGGCCGGGCTGATAAAATGAAAGAGAAAACAATATGCAAGTTGCTATCGGTGGGATGATAGCTCACTGCTGTTCTTAAGACACCATTAAAAACATAGCTCTTGTTTTTTAATTTTATGAAATCTCATGAGGAAAAAAATAAAGGTCTGAGATGGTTAAAATACACGGGAGCTTTACATGTTTGTATACATAGGAGTTTGAAGAAAAACAGAAATGTTTACACTTGAAGTTGAAATCCTTAAAGGGAATTAATAACTGAATTTAGCCTTATCTCCATTCTGTAGGTTCTGTTTAATTAGTTTATCTACACTTACCCAAAAGCTGTAATCATGGAAATAGACACTTCACAAAGCACGTTGTCAAAACTCCTGGCGTGGACTTAGGCACTGTGATGTAATGCCTCTGTCCTAAAAAAATAACGTACTCACAGCAGAACTATAGATACTGATGCCCCGGGTTCCTATTAGATATCTCTAATTATTGATGAAGGATAAATGCTCATAAAGATTATAATCATCATATTAATTATTTATGTTATTAGTTGGGGGAAGTTGGGATGAGAGATGTTCTATTCTGTTTGACTGTACTTTTGGGGGGTAAGTTCTTGCTTCTG